TAAAAGAAGACCAAGAGTTAGATAAACAGTAAATAAAAATATTGGTAATAGTAAAGACCAAATTATCTAATAAAACCACAAAGGCTTTAAATTTTAATATTATGAGAAGAAACAATCTATAGACTTACTGGTAAGGCTCAAAGAATTACCAGATAGCAATAATGGGACTTTAAAATAATTAGGGATATTAACTGAAAAAAAGCTAAATAATGATAATATTTAAAGATGATCTGTAAAAATCTTTGATAATATTTGTGATTTTTCTGAGATTTTTACTATTAAATTAAAAAAACCTAATTAACAAGATTATTCTTCAATATTAAAAATTACATGTTGATCCTAAGTATAAGATATCTGATTTATTAATAAAGTAACCAGCTAGTTTAGCCTATAATTTATTTATAATTGTTCTTAAAATAGCTAATATGTAAAGAGAGATTAGGAGGAAAAATAATATATTTTCAATTAATATATTTAACAAATTTTCAGTGCAGCTATAGCATGTTCCAGGGCTATACATTTCAGAATACTTATGTCCCCAAATCTATCCATACACATCACAAGAATAGCACAGTGGACCCTTATAACCTTTTAAGCAATATTACTAAATTGAAAAATAAAAATATTAAATAGACTATAAAATTAAAAAATTAAATTTATCATCACTATTTTTTTAAAATTTAATTACTCTTATTCATCATATTTTAATTAATTTCCAATTTTTTCATTACAAAGTCAAAGATTTTAAAATTTTTTTGATGAAAAAATTTAGTCTGTTAAAATATTTAATCCTTAAGTAATGAAGATTGATAGTATAGTATTTTTAAAATTAAATTTGCATTAAATCAAAACAAAAGGTCTATTGATAAAGAAAATTGGAAATTTATTTATTTATATAACTCTTAAAATTTAATTTATATATTTTTAGAAATCAATTTTTTGTATTTAAAATGAAAAAAAAGAATTTTTTTTAAACAAATACTTTTGATTCCGGAGATTCTGCTTGGCAAGCAAGAGGATTAAAATTACAATAAGATATTATATCAGTATTTTCATTTTTTCTCCAATATCCATTCTTTAAAAGAATTGTTGATTTGAAGCATTTAACAGCTGATTCTGGGCATTATTAACATTCAATATCTTATTTATTTAAAGAATACTTACCTTCTTAACAATTATCACAAATGATAGAACTACTATATTATTTAACTATTTATCCTATCTCGCAATCATCAAAATTAAAAACTATATTTTTAATAAGTTATTCCTATTTTTGATATATATTTCCTCTTGAATCTACAAGCTAAGGGAAAATATTCGAAACAATTTAAAGGTTCATTTAACTTTTTGGTTTGTATATCACTTATGTATTTAATTAATATCCACCACTTTAAACAAATTATTTTGTTTCAAACTATCCTATACACTGAATTTATTAGTTTGACTACTCCCATTATAATGAAACACTTATTTGCTACATTATTGCAAGAACATCATCGCTGTACATAAGACTTTCAAACTGACTAGCTTTAGATATTAACAGAGGGCTTTCTTCCTCATCAATCAACTATATTTTTTCAAAATAAATGTAGTCCCCACTTTTAAAGTAATTTATATTGATAGAGTTATTTGCAATTTATGATTTAATTGTATCACCTGATGTTTTTATATCATTTATATTTATTTTTATACTTTTTAAAGTAGAGCCTATATTACTACCATACAATTTTGCAATATTCTAATTTATTGTATTATTATAATTAATTCCATTTTATAAATCTAAAACGAAATCAGGTACAACCTATTTATAGTATACTCCTCCACCAATTATAGCTTTATTGTTAAGGATAGTAGTGTTTTTTAAAGATAAATTTGCATTTTATAAGCTTATAGCTCCACCAGTTGATAAGTAGGCTTAATTTTCTAAAAAAGTACTATCTTATATTACAGCATTTCCAATTTGTATCATATTTATAATGCTTATGGAACCTCCATTTTCTTTTAAGCACTAATTTAATTAGAACAGAGAATTTAAAATCTAAATATTTTAGTTTTCTACTGAATAAATTGATCCACCAAACCCATTTGCATTTATATTGTTTTGAAATTTACTATCAGTTATAATAATGTTCTTAGAATTTTTTATTAATAAAATAGATGAGCTGATATTATCAAAAACATTTATATTTTAAGCTTTTAGTGTTTATATTTTTAAATTATCCAGACTTTCTAATTCAATCAAAGAATTTTATATTCTAAAGTTTGTAATCTAAAAAGATGATATTAAAGTATATCCACTAAATCCTAACTAATTCATAGATAAAAGTGTTACATTGTTATTATTAGTATTTAGATCTTAGATAATGCAATTATTATATTTTGAAATAAGTAAAATTGCTTATAAATTTGTTTGCTCAACTTGATTATTAATAACTCTTGAATTAAATATTTAAATCTTCTTAATATTTAACTGTCCAGCAATAATAGTGAAACAGTTTGTTATTATGTCTAGCTAATATATATATATGCCTGAAATTTAAATTATATTTACTTCAATTTCTAAGGTAATATTTGTAGAATTAGTCAAATGTGATATTTT